GTGTGTGTGTGTGTGTGTGTGTGTGTGTGTGTGTGTGTAAGAAAGAATGTTTTCTGTATGGATACAAGTGAAGTTAGAGGTTTCAGCCTGATTGTGTAGATTATCGTTTCAGCAAGAGCACGTGTCAAATACGAATAATGTTCTGAAATAATTCCCCAATGATGCCATTTCTCCTCAAAGTCGAATAGATCTAGTTTCATATCCTAAAGTAGAAGTATTTGCCGTTTATGGCTACGCATGTTTCATTATAGCCAGAAAACTAGAAATCCGAGAATAGCAACTTATACATACCAGATTTGTCTTTTTTACAGATAGAAGATTTTTTTTTCTCCTCTCGGTGCTAGAAATACCAGGTGTTCCATTTTCTGAAATGACCTATTCTTTCTACCGCGAAGTGTTAAGTCAAGCAGCATAAGACAAAGCTGACTGGTGATGTACATAAAGCGTCATGTAGTCACAAGCAAACTGAAGAAAGAAAACCCGACCAAGCGTGTGAATCTTATCTACCTGTCCCGTTTCCCCTTTTCACTTCCAATTACATCTGAATTACCCACCACACCCCGCCCTTTCCACGACTTTCCTTCCACACTTCCACCACTCCTGTTCACTCTTCACTTCGCGGAAGTCACCGCCATAACTAAAAACATAAAACGTTACATCGCCAGTTACCTGTGGCTCTGCCTCTCAGATTTCACCCACATTCCAGCCCCGATACAGACGTCAAAATAGCTGCTTCTGTGTCCCGTTTCCTGTCAATATTGCAATTATGTCAGTTGGCATGATAATCTCTTCAACGCCCGTGCTGTGAGTTGGAGGTTTTTGTCCTTCTGTCTCTGGTTTTCTCTACTTTTTCCAACCTTCCTGTTTTTGTAATTCCCTGATTTTTTTTCACACTTTGAATCGCCCATCGTTGTGGTACACTTGGTTACGGCACTGACTATTATTGGAAAGGTCGAAGTTTGACTCCATTTTGGGGAAACAATAACACTTCTCGTTCTCCCGCAAGTCATCTGCGTTCGAAAAGACGGGCGCCACTAATTTTAGATGACCTACAGCCTGTAGCAAATGAGAATGAAAATGTTCCCACTTCGCAAGGAACCGGTTAAGACCTTAATAATGAGAAGATAAGAAAATGCAGCAGATCACAAACGTGTGCCTATGACCCCCCCCTTTCCCCCTCACATAGCATACGTCTAGGAGTGAGTGAAGCAATAAGGTAAACAAGCGACGAAACAAAAACAGACAAACAAACATGATCACTGATTGACCTTTCCTCTTTTTTTCTTCCCCCTTGCCAGATGACGGCCGGTCAGAGATAGACACATCCTTGGTGGTCAGCATGGAGATCAACGGCATCATGTATCAGGGAGTCCTATTCGCTCAGCACCCACATCGGCTGGGCGTAGGAGTGTGAGACACAACACAACTGCCCCGCCCGACCCACCCCGTCAGACTACTTTGTCCAGATTATTGTAATGATAAGTGACACTGGCTCAACTTTGATTTCGTCGATGAAAACGCGAAACTTCGATCGAAACTCGGGAATTCGTGAAAACTCTACGCCATGGTCCCCTGCCGGCGTGACTCTTGTGTTTCGGAAACTGTTTTGCAGACACGCAATGGAATGAAGTTTCTATTTATACAGACCATAGTGTTATGCTTGAAGGAAGATGTGTTTCAGTTGGTTCATACATGTGTTGGTTGAAGAATTTGAAAGCTGCAAGTGCTCTGAATAAACTTTAATATTTGGAGTGTCGATGGCTTTGAGTTTGTTTACAAAGTTTAGCTGAAGTTTTGTTTCGCTGATAGGTGTAGTTAAATCACTGTACGATGCTGACACCACAGTGAAGTGATGCACTCGAGCAGTTGGCGGGGTCGATGATTGGAAAAAAAGGAGCGATAAGATCGACATTGCACATAGAGACTACTGTGATACCAATGGCGGACATCATGGTTGTTCTAAAAAAACACACGGACGACAAAGTCTGCAGTACAAACTCAAGCAATGTGGCAGCGTTTGGATCAGGTACAATATACAATAACTCAGCATTTAACGCCCACCAGCCGAGTACTGTTGTTAAACTCCTGGCAAATCGACGACAGGGGTTAAATGTTTTACCTTGTCGTTTGAACCGAACTGAAAATAGAATAGGTGACGTAGTAAATCTGATGCCATCCGTGTCGATGTGGTCACAGCAGCTGCTGTTGTTCAAATGGGTTCCCTCTGCTGATCGTCGCTTGCCCCACACTGCCCCGACCTCCCGACGTCACTCTGAACCGAGAATTGACCCTGCTCGATAAGTCAACAGACGATTGAGAACTTAAGAAAAGAGCAGTCTTTCTGTTTTTGTTATAAAGTGTCTCCTCATTCATTTTTTGGGGCAGGAAGTTTCCTAGTTAGAACCACTCTCTACTCGTTTCCATTCACAATCTATGCCAAGCATTGATGGCTGCTAAGAAGCATAAATAAGCGACAACAAAATGAACTAAAATAGACACTTTTGCCAGTTGTTGACTTAAACTGGAACAACTGCAATACACACGTATAATGTTTATATACTTATATATAAATATTCATTTGTGTGCGGTGAGCGACTCTAACTGTGCGTCACCCAAATTACGTCAAACACGTCTCAAAACAATACTTACTATTGGTGAAGCTGTAAGAAGTGAAGAAAAACCTCATTCAATACAAAATTAGGAGCAATTTTGGGAGACACTAGAAACAAAATTATATATTTTTCTACCAAAAAAGTGTTTGACCTAATTTAGTGGACCCGCGATAGTCAGACATCGACGAATATATATATA